GGCCTGGGTAATTTTCACTGAAGTATGCGTGCAACTATGTAATCTTATTGATACCTGATTATCTGTGTTGTAAAGATGTGTGGGCTTCATAATGGCCAAAATGGTGATGCGGGAACTTATGGACCCTTTGATCTTTGCAAAGTTCAAATCATTCCTCACAAAGGTACGAGAAGCTAAATTTTTTATTTAATTATAGCCTCTTGACTGTTTAAGAGGTATTCAAGTTTTATATTTCTTTTTAAGAAAACGAAAACTAGTTGACCTAAATGCTTTAGTCTGTTAAGCAAGTGCCCAAGAATGCTTCGTATCTCTTATATGCCTACAAACCAAGATCTAACTAATGTGTACTTATTTTCCCTTTTCTGCAAGCTTTTTGCATGCCCACGCGTGTGTATTATCACCCAAATCTGAAGATTGTGCATTTCTGAAATTAGTGATCATTTGAAAAATAATAATAATGATTAAATCACCATGATGCTTAGCAGGTCACTTTGGAAACACTATTGTAACTGGACACTGATTCTCACATTAGCATTTTGTGCCATCTATCTGGTCTTTCCAGAGTAAGACATTTGGTGACTTTTGATAGTCAGCTGTTTACTCTAAATCAATATTTACCAGACTCTTTTAGTTCCATTTCTTTTATCAAATATTTCATTTCTATACATCTGCTTTGTCGCTTTGTTTCAGATAATGCACTTAATAATATGTGAAATAACTTTAAGAAGGGAAATCAATAAAAAGTATATGAGGGGAAATTGATGAATATGACGACAGATGTGATTCAAGTGTTTCTATGTTGCATAGTCTTTGACTAAAGAAACATAGAAATTAAAGTGAAAGAGATGCTGAAAGGGCCATGGAATGATGTAAAGTTTCCAACATTAATTCTTGCCACATTAAACTTCAGGGGTATGATCCGTCATGTTTGCGAGAGCTTATGTTGGAAATCCTTGGTAGAAGTTCCCCATATGGAAATGCTGGACTACAAGTATGTTTATTCTTCTGAAGTGAAAAATGCTTAATAATCAGAGTTCCACTCTTGCTTTCAAGTCTTTTGAAGCCTTTCTAACTAATATTTATTTTCTTGCAGATACTTGATAGAAACTGGGGTGCTGGTTGGCACCTTTTATCATTATTGCTTGCCAACAAACCTTCTCAAAGGATAAGGTATGCTATGAAGCAATATCTAGCTAGTTGACAATGTGAATAATTTGTTCATCAATGCGGCAACATTGTGTTTCTGAAGATAGTATCATATGTGAAAACATAAAAAACAATTTATTAGCGATAGTAGTTTGTTTTTGCCAAAGTTTAGAAGTCCTACTGGTGTTAACCATGTGAACTATTATACAGTTGTTTGGATGCTCTTAGACACCCATTCCTTTGTGGGCCAAGATGGCGAGTAGTGCCATCAATGGACATTATTAGATGGGGTCTGGGTTCTACTGCAATGCGTATCAGTGAGGAGTACATTTATCGGCAGCCTCAGGTATTTATCCAACGATACCCCATATGCAACATGTCCCTTTGTTTCTTTTTGAGTGCCTTGATGCTTGTATAAGAAGAGCCTTTATTTGTTGGTGTCTGAGGTCCTCAATTCTTTACTTTCATTTCATCATTTGTATATTGTCCTTAATATCTCAATGGGAACATTTCACTTAACAAATTACACTATTTAAATGTAGAAGATATGTGATACATAGTTCGACTAATGAGTGTTTTCTATGTTTTAGCGTAGCAGGCTCGCCCACTTCATCGACTTAATGGAGATGTTGAATCCTCATCCAAAGCCAAAGGTAAACTAGTGATTGAAACTTTCTTGTAACTTTTTCCTCCTATTGTTATTTCTACGATCGATTTCTTCAAAACAATTCCATTTCTTGTGTCACTAACAATAATATACAAAATGGCCAAGAGTCTTAGCCATTTTGCAACTTACCATCCCTCTCCCATACCATGCCATAAACCTCGCCTACGATAAAAATAATAAAATAAAATACTTATGGCAGTAATTAACTTCCACCAACTGTAACACCAAGTCTTGTTATTAATTGGAGGCATGAAATCACGATCATATATGACTTGGTATGACTTTTTTTAATAGAAAAAGAAAATTTTAATGTTAAGAAGCCAATGTGCAGAACTGGCTGGAGCTGCTTCCAGGCAAATGGCGTCTATTATATAGTACTGGGAAGCATGTGGGGCTGACCCTTCGGCAACCTCCTGTCCGAGTACTCATTGGAGATGTGCATTTAACCGTGACAAGAGTGTCAAAGTTGAAATCCAATCTTTCATTCCTCTCTGACATTGGATTCTCTGTCATGGTTGGTCAGGACTGGCCTCATGACAAAGCTGGAAAGAGTGGAAGATTGCAGGTGAATTCTTCATTTGCATTAACAGCTGGAAGACGGTTATATCTGAAGCACGACAAGACCACAGAGAAGTTTTTCTTTAGCCCTTCCAGCAATGTGGAGGCTTTAGCTCAGAAATTTACTGGCAAGAAATGGAGAAAAATAATCCCTTTCAAGGAGTTTCCGTCAAGTCTTCCTGCAGCAAAGCTTGCATCAAGTGAAATTGATGTGACAATGAATCTTGATGATCCATTAAATCGAAACATTGATACTGCAAAAATTGTTCTGCAAGAACTAAGAACACAAATCCCCCCAGAAATATTTGATTTGTCAAAGCTTGTGTGTGGAACTTATGTGGACTCGAGGCTTCTTGTCTTGCGAGGGGTTAATGGATCAGCGCTACTGTTTACAAGGTCTTTTGTGGATGGAAGTGGTTCTAGTTAATTGTTAATTGTTGATATAGCTTGGTAGTTTGTGATCTGAAATGAACATTTCCTCCCATGCACCAAGAAGAAATCCACCCCCTCCCTTCCGAAAAAAAAAAAACAAAAACCCTTCTCCCTAGTTTTATTGGTAAATGTAAACATTATATTTTATTCTAGGTAAATTGTACAAAACACCTTGCGCCGGGGCGGGGTTCTATGTAAAAGCCCTTTTACATAGTTAATGCTTTCGTATATACAATGCTACAATGCTAGAACATTTTGATGACCAATTTTAATCGATATAAAATATTAATCGTTGAAATTTGAAGATAAGAATTCATTTATATTTAGAGGAAGTCAAACCAGCATAGCTATCTAATAATGATATATTGATATGTTATTGCACCTCCTAAAAATATTATTTCAATGACAATTTAGATTAAGTTTCATGTATCTTCTTGTTATGAAGTTTTTAAATAAAAGAATAACATGGATTTTTTAAAATGCTAAGTAAAATTTATTGAGATAATGTTATAAAATTAGAAGAAATGTTTATAAGTAATTAGATCTGAGAATTGAATGATAAATATATTCATAAAAAATTGAATTGTTCATAGTTTCACTTTTGAGAGCATCCGGACAAAACTTAATAGGGCAAAATAAATAGGTAAATAATATGGTCTTTTTCACTCGTGTAGCATATTTACAATTTTTTTTTGCAATGTTTTTATTAAAAATTTTCTTAAATGATAACTTAGATGATAATTTACAATGTTTTTGCAATGGTAGTGGTAAAAGCGTTTCCTTGACTTCCCACTTCAATTTTTAGTGTTTTAGCGATGAATAAATTAATTTTAAAAAATCAACAAATGAGCAGTCAATTTTTCTTAATCATTTGGCAAGGCAAAAAATATATCAAATTTTTGGAAAAAAACTATATTTATAATGATTTTGGAAAACATTCAAACAAATATCAAAATGTAACAAAAAGTTCAAATTATCATCTAAGTGATTTAAAAAAAAAAAGAGATTGAAAAGTGCTACATGCAAGTTATCATTAAAATATTAACAAAAAAAAAAAGTTAATAAAATATTAATCAATTTTTTAATGTATAGTATTGCATTACTGACAAAATTTTAGGTCTGCTTTAGCTGTTGCTCATGGAATTAATAGAATCGAAACAAAAAAGGTGGAAAGCATAAGCATATATGATAAGCAAGTAATAGGAAAAGCACACAAGAAAACAAAGTAGATAAATGGTTAGAAAGTAAACAAGGGGTAGGGAGCACACAGAAGGGAACTGTGAGAAGAGTGAAACAGATCTCATCTAACTTTGCACCTTTTCTCCAACAACACAACACATCATCTTGTCATGTCAGGGAAGGGTAGATGAGAGAAGAGAAGGAAGAAGCTGCACGATTATGGCAGCCCAGCCAGCAGTGTATAAACATTAAAAAGGTAAATACTCATCTTTCTGCATGTATTCTTCCTAGTGGCTAACCAAAACCAAGTTATCTTCATGCTTCTCTTCTCTCTTTTTTCCCCTGAAATTTTACCTTTTTGTAAACAAATAATTCCTTTATGAGCTATGATTATTTAAAGGATTATTATATGGAAGGATTGTGTCTAATAAGCCTAGTGAAACAAACATGTTACATATTTCAGCCGAATTTATGTTTGATATTATACCCTCTTGCATTCATGGGCCAAACAGTAAGATATCATGAACTGCCTTAACTACATACATAGATAGGTACAGGGCCACTCTTTCTCAGAAACAAAAAATTGGAAAAAGAAATCCTTAATTCGATCACTATTTATAATTATGTTTTCTTTTATTTATTTTAATTTGAATAGTTTTAGACATTTTTTCCAGTTATTTTATGTTAGGATAATGGTGATATTATGAACGTTTGACAGTGAAAGTGAGAGTTAGTTTTATGACGCATCCAACATTTTTTTTAAAAAAAAATTAAACAATTTTAAATCCTATAATACTTTATCATTTATTAATTTAAACGAGTAAATAGCTTTTCATGTTTTTGAAATATTACATAGACTTATTTATAAAGTATTAAAAAATTATAAGGAAAACGTCGTTGAAGGATGCAACATTTTTCTTTTAAATTAACTGTATCGTATAGTGCACCGCGTTTTTATTAGAAATTTTTATACAAATAGATTGGTAGAACAATGGAAAACTACATGAAGGTAAGAAATTGGTTAAACATTGAATTTAAGAAAAATAAGAATATATTATCTGATGACACATTTACAGAGCGCCAAGAGCCAAAAGCTACAAAATCTATAAATTCTAAAATAGACTTCGACGAATGTCCAAAGGAAATCAAAAGGGTAAAAGAAAAACACAAAACTATGGCTTTTTTTTTTTCTCCCTACTATTTTTGTTTTCTTTTGGTTTGATAAAAATTACAGCTTTGGTGTAACTGTGAGATTCCCGGGGGTTAGTGCTCCTTACGGAGAGGAAACAATACTTGTCTGTTATCTGATGTTCATTTCATTTGTATAAATCTTTCCTAATTCATGAATTTCCGGCAGTTTGGAGCTTTACAAAGGCAGGGAACTTTGAATTCATCTGGCTCATCAGGATCAAACAAGTAGTCATACCTGCCCAAAACAACCAATATCAACTCAAAAGAAAATGCAAATGCACACAACACATGCAAGAGACACGTCAACACACGTGCATGCAAGCATGCGCTAATACAAATTGTAGATATGGAGAGAGAATACGTTAGTTCATCGCCGGAAGACACGTTGGTCTTAGCAATGAGTACAATCCGGCTCTCCTCATCACCCACACTCATGATCCTTGCATAGCAATTTGGCATACACTGTATCAAGATGAACCAAAGAAAAGGTAAGATTGATTAATCAGTATTGACAACAAGGAGTGCATGTTTGTGAATGCGTTTTTTAGCAAAGTAATTGCTTGTTTTATAAAAGCTCTCTCAAAAAATTGGTAAAAAAGAAGTGATTATTTCTCTAAAATAAGTTGAACCAAACGTATACTGACTTGTACGAAGATCAATTAAAGTTATGTTGACTCACAGAATGATTAATCAGTCGTGCTATATTTCCTTTATCAGTGGCATCTACCACTACTTCTTCACTTATCTTAAACAGCTGCAAAGATAATAGAATGAAATTTTAGTTTGATATTATTTAAATAAAGATAAGACCAGAGTACTTCAATTAATAGGCAGACATTAGGGAAATAACTCACATAGCAGTCTTTCCCTTCTGCTCTATAGCGTGCCTCCCTCAGATCTGCAACGCTGCGTCTCACTTGTTCACCACGATATTCAAGAACCTGCAAAGGATTAAATCATGCTCATTGTTGCATCTGCTAATGTTAGAATTACGTTAAAATCATAATGGCAGCAAAGAATGATATATTTTGCTAACATATGAACCAGGAACCAGTTCAGAAGAATCCTCAGGACCGAAACAATCACATGCACAAGCGAGGAAACTGCAATTAAACTTTGGCTGGCTTTGCATGATTTTGAATGCTGGTGTGCTATTCAAAACCATGCCTACAAATGAAGATTTTTTGGAAGGGTTCCCATAATGCGCCTCAGTTTTATACATATAGAATATAATAGATCAGTTCTGCTATACTTCCAATTCCTCAGGTAGTCCAACACCTCATGGGTCTTCATAATCAAGGTAGTTAAAATTGGAATTTTACTTTAAATCGTAAATGAAAGTGAAAGTGAAAATCGAAAATCGTAAAATTGTAAATCGAATTGTAAGATTTTATAAAATTAATATATATGATATAAATTCATATTATTCATATAAAAAATCATAAATTAAGGGAAAAAACCTTCAAGTCAGTAAAAGCACTTAAACAAAGTAGCACTCACAAATCATAATTTATTCCATAAGAATGTAATGCATTGACGTGAGTAAAAAATAGACCAGAACAGAGAAGATGCAAGAACAGCAACACTAGACTTGAACTCAGAGCAGAAGCACACTGCTAGGTTTAGTTGCAGACTAGGCTGCACGCACTAGGAGGACTGTTGAATGTTGACAACGATGTTAGGGTTCAAAGCTGCTAGAGGCAAATTGGATTCCATAAAAAGGAGATATATGAAAAAAGTATCAACTATGATAGGGTTCAACAAAAGAGGCTTTGTGAGGAATTTTCAAAATTGAAGTGAAATCGTGAAATCCCATGATTTGAGGGATTTTACAATTCAAATCGGGATTTTACAACGATTTTACTCAACCAGGATTTTATCCATGATTAAAATCAGTGAGACTTTCAAAATCGTAAAATTGTTACGATTCAAATTGGGATTTTAACTGCCTTGTTCATAATACTAAAAAAATATATCTTCAATTGATGATTGATCAACGCACACAAGCAGATACTTAGATATGGCATTCATACCATTTCTCCTTCTTGAATATTTCTACGTGCAAACAGGCCCCATCCATGTATGCCCGATCTACCAAAGCAAACGCGTTCATTTTCGGTTCTCTGGAATCATACAAGAGTACCCCATAAAACAGTCAGAAATTGAACACTAAAACCAATAATCCACCTAAGAAAGAGATGATTTACCTGCAAGTGGTAAAGGCGTTCTCTGAAAGAAGAAAATGCCTGAGGTTCCTGTACCACCTGTTTGAGGGGAAAAAACATGAGAAAAAAGGCAGGAGGAAAAGAAGGGGGATACAGTTCAAATCTTAAATTCAAGCTAGAAGAAAATCAGATATAATTTTAAGAAGACAAAAGGTTTACTCTCGGTGTATTTAAACTCTGTATTGCATCTAAAGGATGATGGTAGTGACCCCGCACTCGAAGAGAAATGGCTTCATCTGCTGCTCTCTAAGAAGTGGAAAAAATAAAAAACAGAAAAAGTTGAACATTTTAAAAGTCCAAAGAACATATTAGAGGGAATAGTATTAGTGAATAACAAGGTCCCCAAGAGAAGCATAGAAACAAAGTAATCAAAGCAGAAAAGCAGTAACCATGATGTTTCATGATACACACCACATACAAGTTTGCATCCATGCAAGTGGCAGCAGCCATCACATTTTGGTGTAGTATTAGTTGTCAGCAAAATATATAAGATACTGGTAACACAAATTAAGTAATAATATATTTTTAATGTTTAAACATAAATATATTTTAACTGGAAATATAAACAGGACAATATAATAAACATCAGAGACACTGGTGTGTTGTTTAAGTATTATCTTACAATCGGCATTCACCAACATGAACAACAATTTTTGCCAATCTACCTTTTTGGTAGGGTTTGTTCTTTGAAAGATACGGCACCTAGCAGCAGAGAACGGGTCATGCTCAGTGTTATCAATAGGAGGGTCTTCTTGCTTTATTCTGTTAGATGAGATTAACCTTGAACCAGTTTTTTTCTTAGTTTGGAGAAGGCTTTTAGTTGAAATGACCCCAAGAGGGGTCTGCATAATCAAAACAGTGTCTGGATTTGGAGCCCTGCAAAAAAGAATAGACATGATTAAGACGAAAGGCTGGAAATAAGATTCAGATTACGGAGAATTTCAGATAAAGCTATATATGTGTAATCACAAAGAAAGACATTGTTCGGCAAACTGCAAACCCTACAAAGAAAATGAGAGAAAAGGATAAAGTAGGATGGTTAATCTCTTTCATAGATGTAATCAAGGAAATGCATACCTGTGGTAAGCACAATAAGAGACCATTTTTGTTGTCTGCCTTCCATTTTTCTCTAAACAATGCAACTGCATTTAATGGGGAGAAATTTAATTAAATATTGCCCCAGATAAAACATTCAAGAATATGTTAGGGCTCAATAATCTCAGTAGAATGCAGAATAAAGAAATAGGAAAGGCAATTGGACCAAAATGAATATAATACTCCACACAAATCCTACCCAATGTCATCCCTAGAAAAAACAAAGAGAATATGACAAATGAATTCTGTTAATAGAACACGGAATGAGCAAGGAGAATTCTCTGTAAGGGTTACCCTGTTCCCAACTGAGTGTAATGAATTCAGTTCTCTTACAATACTGTTAAGCTATCATAATTTACAATTGATCTCTCCTTTGTAACCACCCAACTGACTAACTAAAAATCTATTGAGTGAGCATCTAACTGTTGTAACTGCCCTAACTGTTTTTTGTTCCTTCTAATATACACTTTCCATGTCATTTCCTCCTTATATGGTCTAACAAAATACAATAACAATCAGAGTCTTATTCCACCAGACAGGGTTTGGCACTTATGGCTACATGGATAAATTGATGCCATCGGACCCTATCAATAGGTTGATCCATGTTAGTGTTTCTTATTCTTATTGGAGACCAAGCTGAAGATGCATGATTCATGAAGGAAACTAGCGAGTAACAGTAATCAATCATCAACTTGAATGACTGAAGCTAAAATCATATATGCTTAAATCAGGGAAGTAAATAGAAATTTTCCATTTAAGTTGTTTAAAATTAAAGAAAATTTCAAATCATAAGATACCAAGAATCTAAGTGAATCCTCACCTCCATTCGATAACCAGCCCTTGATGCACACATGGCATGGAAATAAGTCGAACACTTGCAACATTGCGTGCATGAACCATGAATTTGCTTACAAATAACACAAATCTGAAAATTCAAATAATGCAGACTTTAGATTGCATTTGTCAGAATGGACCAAAAGACATCTAAGGGTGATCCAATGCATGAGGCTCCCATCAACTAGGATTTGGGGAGGGTAGATGTATACAACTTACCCCACAAGTGGAGAGGTTCTTTCTAGGATTTGAACTCATGGCCGTGACCTCTAGGTCACTAGGCAACAACGTTAAACGTTGTGCCAAGGCTCATCCTCACCATGAGACATCTAAATGATAACAATATTACAAAATCCAGAGGCTAGATAATTTCCTTTATACCACACTCAATGAACAAAATAATCAAATAAGATAGATACTATTCAGCTTTATAAAGTGGTGCGAAGAATTTTTTAAGCGTGGAATCTGCAAAGAATAAAATCACTTCCCTGGTGACTAGCATTACTTAATAGGAGAAATTTTTAGTAGCAGCTACCTCACCTTCACAAAAGAATTTGATGGAATACTTAGAATACCCAAAGCAGGCTCCATCTTCTCATCACTAGCAAAAGATACTTCAGGGCGAAACCAAGCACAAGTGACATGAACCCATAATGTGTCAACATCGGTTGGCTTTAGAGCACCACCTGGAAGTTCAAAAATTGTTTTAAGAGAAAAATATTCTTGACATAAAAAACAATGCCAAGATAGAAACATATCTACAAGCTTAATGATAATAATTTGTAACATTTTTGTTATATTAAAAGCTCTAATTATGATTTGGCCAAGCATGATCCAATAATAGTACAAAAAAGTCATATATGCTTACAATGGATCATAATATACTCATAGTAAAAGGGAGTTTGGGGGTTGGGGGGAAGTCTCAGCCATGATGAGTAAAATTGAATTATAGATGTATATGGGCTTAAAAAATAAAGTTGTGCAATTACAAAAATAAATTGTACATGATTGGGTGATAATGTAAAAAACTTTTACACATATAGTGGATCGAATTAAACAAATAGTGAAGTGAAAAAAATATTCTCAGCCAAGAATAATAAATTGGTTCATATGACCATACAAGATAAAAAAGAATCAGGCAGGAAAGCTCCAAAAATAGATATCACAACAAAAGTGAGTCTATATCATACACAACCTCCAAAAAAAAAAAAAGATGACCGTATGTTTTACCATATGGTATATAAAGTGGTCTTATGGTATAGACTTTATATACCATATGTTTCAAATATTTTCAAAGACGGTAATACCTTTTACAGGACAAAGACAACACTCCCGCTTGATGTCAGGTGTTTCACAAGCCTTACAAACCCAAGATGTAAAGTCTTGGACATTTCTTGCTCCGTAGCATTCTTGATGAACAGCTATTTGACATCTATAAAATATATGATTCATTTGTGAATTAATTAAAATGCACTTCATCACACACAGTGAAAATAGAGCAACCACAAAAGTCTTGCTTCATAGTTCAAGCTAGTACAAGAAAAAGATGCTCGGTTTTGTTGGCAAAAGGCCTGACTTATATGTGGTGATGCAAGCCTGTAACAATGATAAGTCAGTATGGCAAGCTGCCATACATATAATTGAAATCATAAAGCAATGAGCATATTCCAGTCAAATGCACTACAACAAAGCACTGGAGGAACTTTCACTATATGATATCTCAAAATACAGACAAATATTAAATCCAAGTTAAGCACTATATTTATTGGCTAAAAGATCTGTAGATACATGCAGCAACTTGTTCAAATCCCTATGTTTATTGGTTGAATATTGACCAAATGAATAAATAACAAAGTGAAGATGCTGTATTACCTGTTGCAAATGATAATTTTGTTGTAGTCCCAGTCTTCAACCCATCTACAAACAGCACAGCGTTCTGTAGTCCACTTAGCATGAACAGGTTCATACTTCTCTGTCATAGCAACAGTTAGCTATCACTACAAGAACTTCATACGGCAACCTCATCAATTGAGAAGTTATGCGAAAGGAATGAGTTAAAAGGCACCTCGCAAAAACGTAAGCAATTTCTGCTTTCTTTCTTTTAGAGAAGGTTTTTTAGGTTTGACAGAAACTAAAGCACTAGCATGGAATTCTGCCAACTGCAACATCTGAGAAGTCAAATCCTTTGTATTAGTTTTGTGTATCCTTACATCTTAGAACAAAGACACAACAAATCAGCAACCTGTGTGTTCCTTCTTCCAAGTGTCCCATGTCATACAAATACATGAGACTAATATTTTGAGTTCCCGGTCTCAATAGGCAAGTATCATTAGCATTTTGACACCAAAGAATGCAAAATTCAAATAAAATGTTGATATTGACATATAAATATATTATCCAATAAATCTAAGACAAAATCCATAAGATGGAGAAAAGTTTAATTAATAATACTAACCAGAACAAGCCCATAAGTATATTAAATGTGTAAAAGAGGGTGGTTTGACAATTGAACAATCTTCATAGACTAAAGTAACCAGTAAGTAGTATTATATTTTCAGCACAAAGGGATGGGAATATCAGGCACCAAAATTAATAATAATAATAATATACAAACCCATTGTTCCAGCGGAAGCATGGAGTCTTTCACCCTAATACTTGTTCTCCAATTCCTTAATTTGGAACCTGTGTGTCGTTCCCATTCACTAAGTGCTTGCTTTTCTGTTCCACAAAACCCACACTTGCACACAACTCTGAAGAAGAAGAGCACACATCATGAGCAAAAGAAAAAGAAAATCATTTTCCAATCTAGAAGCAATAGAAACAGCACATTCAAAATTGGCAATTAATCAATTCAGAAGATGGTAACGTAATTCCTGAATGATAAGCTACATTAGACATTTGAAAGGCTGACCTAGCACCTTATGTATGACTAAAACATAGTATATCAAATATTGTCCAGCACAAAGTTTGGTGGAAATTTGATTGACACACAAATTGATGAAACTTTACAGAAATTCCAAAAAGAGTTTCTCTTTTTGTAGGAAAAAAGAATCTCATTAGCAAACTAATGCTACACTTGCCTCATTTAAGAGCAAAATTGCTAAGTTTGATTATACTGAATAGTACTAATTGCCAATCTCAAAAAGACACTAATACATTACTACTTGATCATAGTTATCCTGGATAACAGCACGTTGCAGTCAGGTCTAAAACTGCTACAGCAGGATAGTGGAAAGCAAGATGAGCACTATTTTAAATATTATAACTCAAATTAAATAATTTAACCACATACTATGAAGCCTCTAGTACAACACGAATATGATATGGTAGAGATGCGGGGATACGCGAAAAATTTGAAATTCAAGATACGATACAGTTTAGATACGTTAACATGAATTTAAAAGAATAATATACTTTATACATATACAAAATATTTATAAAGAGATATTTATAATTCATTTATATTAATATGTTATATTTGGATATCTATGATCACATTTTACAAAAAAAAATCATAATTGTCAATAACGCCCGAGTGCAGGGTGATAGCGGTGGTACGTGGTGGAGCAGCCTTCGGCCGCTACAGATCTGGCATAGCGGTGCTTTTGTTTTTTCGTCGCGGCCATCACAACCAATAGCGGCTGTATTTGTAGCCCAAAATGCAGCCATTCGTGGTGTAATAGTGCCATCACAAGGAAAGATATTAACTTTCCTTTTCAACCCTCAAAGTGAAGGAATTTTAGGGTTTTTTATGGGTAAAAAAGACTTTTAATATTTAAGAAATAAGCTGATTTTCCCTTTTTGCCCTTATGATGACACAATCTTCAAGTTTTTTAAGGGCAAAATAGTCTTCTCACTTTTCGGACCTAACCCACTTTTCCCTGGGTTTTTTTTCTCCCTTTCTCTCTTCGACACCCCTTCCTCTCATCTGTATTGTTCTTCTGCTTTGCAACCCCACTTTTTCTGCACAATTTTTCTTCTCCCCTTTCTTTATTAGACACTCCCTCACGAGTCGTTCATTTAGGGCAACTTCTTTGGCAAAAGCTACTTCCATTCTTTTCTCTATTCTATGATTCCATAGCCCCTCAACTCTCTCTTCAGCTCTAGAATTCCACAAAAGAATTCGTAGTTCTATCCATAGTTATCAATAGCGGCCGCTATCATGACGGAGCGGTGCAGTCCTCTATGGTGACCCTATAGTATTGCGGTTCAATGTCACGGCTGTCGCACTGCGAATAGCGACAAAAAATTGTAGAAATTGCCGTTGTAGCGGCCGCTATGCTGTCTTCCTTGAAAATTCCGAATCTGCCTTCTATTTTTTAACGTTGGAGGCTTTCAAGGGGAGACAATCTTGAGATTTCACTATTCTATGATTCCATAGCCCCTCAACTCTCTCCTCAGCTCTAGAATTCCACAAAAAAATTGGTAGTTCTATCCATAGTTATCAATAGTGGCCGCTATCATGACGGAGCGGTGCAGTCCTCTATGGTGACCCTGTAGCATTGCGGTTCAATGTCACGGCTGTCGCACTGCGAATAGCAACAAAAAATTGCAGAAATTGCCGTTGTAGCGGCCGCTATGCTGTCTTCCCTGAAAATTCCGAATCTGCCTTCTATTTTTTAACGTTGGAGGCTTTCAAGGGGAGACAATCTTGAGATTTCGCTATTCTATGATTCCATAGCCCCTCAACTCTCTCCTCAGCTCTAGAATTCCACAAAGAAATTGGTAGTTCTATCCATAGTTATCAATAGCAGCCGCTATCATGACGGAGCGGTGCAGTCCTCTATGGTGACCCTGTAGCATTGCGGTTCAATGTCACGGCTGTCGCACTGCGAATAGCAACAAAAAATTGCAGAAATTGCCGTTGTAGCGGCCGCTATGCTGTCTTCCCTGAAAATTCCGAATCTGCCTTCTATTTTTTAACGTTGGAGGCTTTCAAGGGGAGACAATCTTGAGATTTCGCTATTCTATGATTCCATAGCCCCTCAACTCTCTCCACAGCTCTAGAATTCCACAAAAAAATTGGTAGTTCTATCCATAGTTATCAATAGCAGCCACTATCACCGCAGAGCGGTGCAGTCTCCTATGGCGACCTTGTAGCGGCTGTTGCACCGCGAATAGCGACCAGAAATTGCGAAAATCGCCGCTATAGCAGGGCCTTTAAGGGGAGGTAATCTTGAGATTTTGCCCCCTCCCCCCCTCCCCCTTTTATTTTCTGAATCTTCTCCCTCCCTCTCACAAACCCTAGCCCCTCAACTCCTCCCCTCTCAGCTCTCCTTTCATTTATCCTTTCATTTCCTCTCTCTGTTTTCTCTATTTACACGACTGGAATGTGACCTTCATCTCGGGCGAGATTTCTAACAAAAAAGGGACGTTTTTCGGTCATCTTCTTTGTGTCCGGTGAAGCCTCTAATGTGATCCAGATTATTGAATCATTTTCTTCATCTCTTGTCGCCTTCTTCAAGGTCAGTGAAGCTTCCAACATCACTCAAACATCTAAGCATTAGAAACTTAAATTTATTTAGTTCTTATATTTTGTTGTTACTTGTTATTGACATTTGACATGTGTTATGTTTTTAAACTTTTACTTTTAATCATTAATATTGCATGTTTTTAAGTTGGGTCTTAAATTTATATTTTTCAGCATATATATGTGTGTAACTTAATTTATATGGGTATATTTATAATGCCTAAAATAGTGATCATCTCACTATCTACTATCCCGCTATAGCATTTTTGGAGTCAGCCGCTCCGTGTCGCTATCCGAGATTAACTACTATGGTCTATCCAAAAGAAATATAGAAATATCACAAAAAGAAGGTCATGTCTTTATACTATTTAATTCTATCTAAGCCGTATCAGATAATTAGGAGCCGTATCCCAGCCATATTAGGTTGGAAATTAATTTTTAAAAATAAAATTATATATGCTTTTGAGATACGTATCTAGATGTATCGGTATCGGATACGTGTTCGAAACAGATACTTTGGCTGTTTTGAAGTATATGGGCTTCATAGACCACACATATAAATACTAAAAAATCAAAATTAAGGAAATCCGTGATAAATAATAAGTCAGTTTCTACACACAATCACCACAATCTCAGAGCATTAAGAACATTGTATTGGAGTAAAAAACGGAAAGATGATGGTGAAGTTAATAGAAAAAGAACACGTTATATGAAAATTAGCAGAATGAGAACTGGATTTCTGAAGGAAGAATAAACAGCATAAGACAAGAAAAAATAGTCCTGTAAAGTGTGAAGGAACAGAGGTCAAAACAAAGGTAAATTCTTTTGTGAATGGTAAACAAAGAAGGCTTTCAAATCCTCTTATATTTCTGAAACTAAAAAATGAACTCGAAAATAAGGCTTTCAAAATTTTACCTAAAAAATCCCTAAACAACATTGTTTTATGCATAAAAATAAGTTTTTGAAACTTATATCATTGTAGCACTGCTACAGTGCACGAGAAGCCACTATTTTGGCAGCTTTGCTCCGCTACTTTGCTATAGCATCATTGTAGCACGCTATTGACTACTAATGCTTATGACACCTTTTAAACATAACTAATTATAAGTGATAAATAACTAGAGCAATTTTAAAATTTAATACAACTTTGATAGCCACAATAAAGAACAGAAAAAACTTCTGTCAAATACTTTTGAAGGATTTTGTGCTTACAAATGAAGGCTTGGAAAATATATGCCTTCTACACTATTGCAGAGAACAGTGACCTTATTTGGAAGTACAAGCTGCCCATTGTTTTTGTTACACCTGTACCAAAAGTCTCCACTATAGTTAGAAAAAAAAACAAAATATATAATAAAAAGTGTCATCTTTATAAAAAAATGCCACAACCATATCTTCAACATACTCTTCATTATTGCGTGAATTTCTACATGATTTAAAGGATTCTGCGTGAATTTTAGCCAATAACAAAGAGTGCATTGCTAATATTCCTCTTAATTTATGATACCAAATAAATACATTCTAAATTTGTAATATGAACTTGAATCACAACCAACAAGCTTCAGGAGAATTTTACATGGAACCATTAAGACACAAAGCCAGGGCTGGAGGAGATAAAAAATGAACCACAATAGACTTACTTGACTTTTGGCTGTGATTTTTCCGAATCAGATAACTCAAAATCAAACTTGGCTTTGCAAGTAGGGCAGTAATAATCAGTGCCTTCAAGATTCTTCAAAAACGCAATATACCAATCAGCAGAAAAAACCAAAATGTCAATTAATGAACCTCAAATGATGAGAAGCTACAATATTAAGATATCGGGTAATGGATAAACCTTGAAAAGGTTGCTAGAAATTTTGTCGCATTCTGCGTGCACCCACACTTTACATCCATCACAGCGGACCTAATCCAGAGGGGGCATCCACGAAGGGGTAAAAAATCAACCACAATACAAAGCAATAAAAGTCTTTGACCAGAAAACAATAATCTTGATCGGCTAACAGATTTAACTAACTCACCCAGCTTCCACTATCCGAATGATTCCAAACCTTCTTGCATATGCCGCAATAATGTTTTGATTTTGTTAACTGCCAAAAGAAAATGATTTAGAAGACTACAAAATTTTCTAAACAAGTACAGAACTTCAATTATAACGCTTTCATTCCAGACTTAAATATAAATTGTTAGAAGAAAACGGCAAAATATGCAAACCCTAGCACATGTTCTACAAAGGAATTGGCCACCAGGACTCGAATCCTTTGTTTTCTTAGACATCTTGTAAGGAAGGCTCAATCCACAGGCTTCACAAGGTCGTGTCTCTTTCTTATCAAATAAATCCTGCAATGGAAATTCAAATCAATGTGCTATTAAATTTGACCAAACTTCAGCAGAGTTTGTTAAAGAGATTGTCGTAGCATTCATCACTCTTGCACTTTTGAAGAGTAATACTTACATAATTAGAGAATAAAAAGATAATAAATGCCAAATCTATTAGTCAGTCTTGGGCCTACAAATGTAAGAAGAAACTAAAGGTGCTACAGTTAATTTTCAGTTGCAAACTAAGTTTATATTATCATATATCACAGCTTTCCTTAAGTGTCCCTAAATATGATGCACAAGTAACTGCCACTGAACAGCTAATAAGCCTGCAGTTTCCCAAATGCGTGGTAAAAGAAGAAGAACAAGCCATGTAGACAACTTACTTGGTTCACAAAGTGATATCCTGCATATTGGTTTGAACCACTGACCTCCTGAAAGGCTTTCAGAATAGAGTCATCATAACCATTGTTACCAGCCGCTGTATTTATATCTGCTATCAACTTCTCTGTGAAACCCTGCTCTGCCAAAAATGCCTCCTCTACAGCAATTTGTAATTCAGAAGGATTATAGTCACTCAATTCAGACAGCCCCTGAAACCTAAACCAAGAAACATCATGCCGAATGAGCAAAGATTCTTCCACAAAAAAAAATTGTAGTTTTACAGAATGTAAACAAACAGCAACAACCAACAACTCCACACCTGTCTACATAATCCATAAATGGAAAAATCATCCCATGCTTCACCCATGCATAGTCCTGTTCAAATCATCAAAACACAATAAATAAACAATTCCTTAAATAGCAAAGAAGCTCCCCATACAGGAAGCAGTTCATAGTCACACATGACATACCCTTTGATTTTCATTCCCTGCATACCCAAGAAACATAACACAAGCTGCATCAGCTATACAAGACCTGAGGACCAACTCAGGTGCCTGAGACATAGGATCAATAACAATGGCGGGCCAAAAAGGTTCCTTTCTCCCTGCTTTGGCCCATACTATATCACCAGCATAAAAATCTTCTGGTCCAAACAGACCATCTTTCTTCTCCACATTCTCCTTCAAAACCATCTCATTCCCCATCAAATCAACTCCTTCCACCTCCAAAAACCTTCTCTCATCTTCCTCAACCAACACCTCTCGCCTCAAGGCCAATGCACCACGCAAACTCGAATACTTGCTCCTATCAAAACTCTTATACCTCACACCAACATCATCCCCACACAATGCCGAGTACCTACGAGTCTTCGAACCTGTTTTCTCGTCGTTTCGCCCTTTCTTTGCCTTTTGATTGCAAATTTTGGGTGCCTTGAAGCTGAGCTTGTCCTTCTTGCATTCAAATTCATCATCAAAATCAGAATCACGCATGCTGCTACTCTTGCTCTCTTTCCTCCAATTATCAATAACCGAGTCATTGAAGCGCGAAGGTAAAACCTGAACTCGCCCCCTCGAAGTTCGAACCAGTGGTGGTCGTTGAACCGGTTCCTTCTTCGCTCTTACGGCGTCGTTTTTCGAGTTCGATTCCACTTCCCCGGGGGAGCACGAAACTTGGGTGCACCACGACGCAGAGAAACCCTTCTCCGACATGCCGGTGCTAAGCAACCCATGTAAACTCACCGGGATTATCCCGGCAGCGACATCTCCAAGAAGGTTCAAAGGGTAGAACCCGTTGGTCTTCCTCTTCTTACGAGCATAAGAAGACTCATCGTCTTCACCCACCGGGTCACTGAGTTTTACCCGTTTCAAACTCGGCATTTGGGATTTCAAGTTTTTCTTGATAATCATTGTTCTCGCCCCGGGTCCAAATTACAATCGCCGCATTAAATTGAAGCCACGGGTTGCGTTAAAATCTAAACTTTTAGAACCCCAGAAAGTAAAATTTCACTTCCGAGGCCAGACGTATAAGACACACCATAAACCCTAATTTCGAATTGAATTTCAAGAAACAGAGCAACCACTGAAGCAAGAAGCAAGGGCGAATTTTGAGTAGGTAAAGGGAGAGACCTGACAAGAGGGTAAAAGAAAGTGACCGAATTGAGTGCAGAAATGCCAGAAAACCTGATCGAGAAGATCGAATGAGCAGATTGGAAGAAAGAGGGATCTCTCACTGAACACAGAGAAAGAACTTCAGAAGAGAAACGTAAACGTTATTTTTATGCGAAAGTTTTTAAGACAAATTGCAATGTAATTTGTATTTTTCTGGACGTAACAAAAAAAATTGTAACGTACGACGCTGTTTTAATTTAGGAAATTTTTAGAGAGAGAAAGGAAGAGGGTACAAGGTAAGGGATGACAGAGTAAGTTTAGAGAGAGAGAGAAGCCTCGGCGTTATCTCAAGTGTGTTTATATGTTGTTGTGTAGTTGTGTGTGATGGGGCCAGAAGCTAACTTGCGCCTTACGTGTTGGTAGCGCAAATTCTTCTGCCAAGTCGTGAGCTTGGTGATGATATTCTGGTTTGGTTTGGCATCTTGGGCCGGGTTTCTTGTGTACCATTATTAGTATAAGCTTTCATATAATTGCAATGGCTATGCCATTTTTGAGTCAAAGTTGCAAGCAGAGGAAGACTGGGGTTGCAGTGGATCACCAATTTTGTTCCAAGAATTTTGGAGCCATAATGTTCCAATTATATATATGTGCCAATATACGGGAAACATGTTTTTATCGTAATGTTGCTGTTGTCGTCCTTGGATTATGATGTAGCATTTTCTATGGTTTTATTGTCGATATTGTTGTCCATTTTCGTCTAGGTTTGGGACTCGGAAATTTCACTGCCACCATAGCATAAAAAAATTTGTTCCATATTTATAGCAAGTTTTTCTATTTTCCGGTGGGGGAGGTTGCAATAATTTTTTTGATGAAATGAAAAATTGCATTTCGTGAAATTTATTTTTGTTCAAGTTATAAGTACCGTTGTTGCATATGGAGTAAGATTACATTTGAAACCTGCTGTTAGGTTTGGTTCCAAAGATCTGGTGGAGTAGCGCTAAAAAACTTTTTTTTTTCCTCCAGTTATAAGAGAACGACGTGCTACTGCAGTGCTTAAACAAAAAGGGTCAACCACATTTTTTGTTGTGAATTTTATAGTTTTATTTTGTTAGAACGTAATTTGATTTTGATATATGTGTGAGGAATTGAAGTATGGAAGATGGGTTTTGGTTCGTCGTCCGCACCAAAGAAGAGTGAGTCTTGGGCATGTGGAAATAGGGTGCTTATTGGAGTTGTTTGGTGGGTGGGAATATCAGAAAACCGAGTTCTGATGATTGGATCTACCGTCTACGCACTACACGCCACTGACTCCACTTTTCTCAATTTTATGGGTTGTTTTCAGTTTTTAAAAAAAATTATAAAATACATTTTTTATATTCGAAGACGAAACCTCCGGTTCTGGGTCATGACTCATGGGTGGATCAATCATGGACACTTACGAAGGCTCTACAAAATAAACTTATTTGAAGACTTTAAGAAAATTTTCTTTTTTATTTCCTTTTGGGGAAGGGGCTTCGGCTCTGTGAAGCCATGGAAGTTTGTTTATCGTTCGTTATCATCATTTTGTTAAGCTAATTCATTTCTGGCCATAGAAAGAATATATGCACATATATTGCAATGGATAACGTGATTTATGTATCATCCCAAGAAAACAAAATATGAAGGTGGTTGTTGCTTGTAACATGGAAAGCACTGAACCAGAAAATTCTATAGGGTATAGCTCAAAGGGGGATGCTGTATAAAGTCTTATTTTTATTTATTTATATAGTCAAAGGGAAAAGGGGTTGATAAAAAAACTGCTGGTGAGGGTGCGAGGGAGCAAGAGGGTGATACACGTTGATCACGTGTGAGAGAAGTTAATATTTATTATTTAATTTTGTGTCAATGATGAAGGATAATTATCCTTAACTTGTTTCCCTTTACCCTGTCATTCCCTTTATGGATAGGTTGATGACCCTTTTTCTTTTGGTATTGTTCACTTTGGTTGTTGTTTGCTTCCTCCCTGCTGGACCTATGGCTTTGAACCCAAAGAAGTAAAAATAGCCATGACTTTATAATTCTTTGACCAAGAGAGATAAAAAATCAACGATGGTGGGTAATTGCATATTTGCATGTGTTCAAGAGGACAATGGAGTCCAAACCTAGCAAGGGTCATGTTTATGATGCACACTGAAAACCATGTTTTGTATGGCAGAGGTGGGGATATCTGAAGTGTGAGTGATGAAGAGCTTCCTTTTTCACATCCTTGGATCATTTAAAAATGGAAAAATGAAGAAAAAAAGGACCTTATGTTATCTTTGTCTCTTAACTATAAGTTTTAATTTGATATATAGGTTTATTTGAGTTCTCATTATTTTTCCCTTTCACCCAATAAGGTGTTTATCATTATGTACGCAAAAAATGACAGAGAGAGAATATAAAACCTGTGAGTTTGGGACTTTGGTAGTGATTCTGTGGCCATCTTCGTAGTTCCAAACTCAGCCAAGCGATGCATATTCTTGGAGAATCAAATAGATCAAGTCAAGGATGGCGGCGAAGCCAAGTTGCCATTGTCTAAGGCTCCAATCATGAATAATAAAATAATACTGATCATATATTAATCATGGTTTCGTATTAATTATTTTTTATTCTGTACATAAGAAAAATTTATTTAATAACAAACTCTTTCTTTGTTCAAATAAAGTTTTGGGTGATCCAAGATAATGTAATTTTGACCATTCACAAGGCAATACATGCATTTTTTTAATTGTAAATTGTAAAATTGTAACACATTTTGTTTACGTAGTTTTACCTTTTTTTTTATTGTCTAATAGAATTTTCGGATTACTTATTATTAGTGAGAAAAAAGAAAATTAGTGTATTTTGTTTCAAAACCATGTTTAACAAATCTTTTAAAAATATAAAACTGTGTTTAACTTATATTTTGTTATTTTTAAATCATGTTTGATTATTAATTTGAAATTGGGACAAACCCAATTTTGGCTATAAACTTCCGGATGAAGAGGAGTCATGTGGAATTACCTTCATGTTTTAAGGTTGGAAGAAATTCAGAAATACAGTCGATCTTTTTTCTTACATTATCCTACTTTTCTTTTTACCAAAAATAATTTAAATTTATTCTAAATTTTGGACATGAAAAAATTTTATCTCACAAGTTGAAATAATTTTTTTGGTAATTCAGAATTACGTGATTTTGACTAGTCATAACATAATACACATATTTTTCTATGTATAAACTATAAAAAATATAACACCTATTATTAGTAGTCAAAAATAACGTAATTTCGGACCATTTAAAAGTTTCATTATTATTCATTAGAATTTTCCATTTACACTTTAAGGGAATAAGTGTACTTTTGGTTTGGTCTTTTATCACGCCCAAAATCATGTTTAACATTTTTATAAAACTCAATATAATATTTAATTTATATTTGTCATTTTTAAATTATGTTTGGTGATTAGTTCGAAAATTGGGATCATCCCAATTTTACCTATAAACTCATGCTTCAAGAGGAGTGATATGGAAGTACCTTCCTGTTTCAATGTTAGAATCAATTCAGAATACAATCGGATCTTATTTCTTACGTTATCCTCCTTTTCTTTTCTTTTTTTAATAATATAAATATTCTTTACTAGAAATAGTTCAAATTAAAAACATATACATTATTTTTCTCATATTTCATATCAATTTTTAAAATTATATTATACACTATTCATGAGATGTATAATTGTGTTAGTGTTTTTCTATTTATTATGATAATATTGTATTTTAATATTTTTTTTCATAGATCACAATAATCTTAAACATTTAAAGTAAAAAATTATTTTTTAATAATTATACATATAAAAGTATAGAAAATATTTAAAAATATTATTTTAGAAAAAATTAAATTTAAAAAAAAAATTGTTAACCTCAACTCTTAAAGCTGAGTTTAAATATCAACAAATAGAAAGTTTTTATGAAAAGTATGTAATTTTTGTATTTAAATTATAAAAATATAATAAATAATTATTTTTTAATAAATTTTTACTATTATTTGCTGCTTATCCTTAGGGTTGAGGTTAACAAAATTTTTTAAAAAAGCTTTTAAACATGATAACACTATTACATTAAGAGTATTCATCTTTTGGTTTCATTTGATTTTTATTCAAAAAAATCATTCAAATTATATATGATTTGATTTGAATGTAATGTTAAAATTGAATAAAATAAAACTAATACTTTATTATTTTCAAACAATTTAGATCTTTTAATTTGGACTAAAGAGTAACCCAAAATTTTAAGTGAGTTTGTTTAAAAAAATAGAGACGTTGATTAGAAGGAAAATACTGTAAAAAAATAGTGAGTTTACCTATAAAGAGAGAAAAAATTACTCAATTAAGAAAATTAAAAATTTGTAAATAAAAATAAAATGGTATACCATATATTTATATAATATTATGATGAAATTTTTAAAAAAATATTTATATAAAAAAATAATATGAATACATTATAAACACAATTTAGTTTAATTTTAACGATAAGAATAAAAATTGAAACAAATAGTAATAAAAAATGTGATTTTATGATTTTTAGTTCAATCATTTTTTTTATTTCTTCAAGTTGATTTGATAATTTAAAATTTAGTTTGATTTGAACATTTTTACTGTACTTTTTATTTCAAAAGTTTAAATATGATGCGTATTTTTTTAACTTAATAACTTAACAAAAGGGGAAAATCATGAAACATTATTAATTTATTTGTTATTAATGAATTTAGATAAAGAAATGACCATTTTAAATTTATTTTAAAAGTTACACATACAAAAATATTTTTTTTATCAAAATTATCCAAACAATAATGATTTTTCAAAATTATTTTTGTGATAAAAAATCTAAACATAACTCATTTCTCTTCAATTTTTTTAATCAATTGAAATTTACAAAATTAAGATAATTTAAAAATCACCGAAACCAAAAGAGAGCCATTTGAACAAATTACAAAGTGAATGAAATATATTAAAGCAATTCGAATTTAAATCGAGACAATCTAAATTTGTACACATTGTCGTGCTGTTTGAGTAAACTCCTCAACCAAAATTAATAGCTAATGTTAAATAAACAATTTTCATTTAGAAAAAAATAAAAACCATATATTTCATTTAAATACTATTCCAATAAAACCAGTTCGGTTTACATGTCAAATATTAATGAGATAAAAAAATGAATATAATATTATCATGTTATTTTATTGAGATAAAAAAAAATCCCAATTCGTTTTTCTTAAATGTACTTTATTGTCTTTCTAAAATTACTTAGATGTTAGTGAAAATTAATTTAAATATGAGATTTAAAATATCATATACTAAGATATAATTTTTTTAAAAATTTAAATAAATTAGTTAATTGCATAAATTGTTATTAGTGATTTTTGAATTTCATAAAATTAACTAATTTTATTAAGACCTGAATTATTTTTGAAATGGAAATCAAACTTTTCTGAATTTAATGCACAAAATTAAGCATGATAATGTGGATGTCTGGTGATAGAGTGACAGTGACATAGCATAAACATGTAAAGACAATGATCCAACTGTCCACATCAAAGGACATCTTTTATTATATTTTCAGCCCACAATTAGCAAAGGAAATTTACACATCATGTGTATCACCAACACACGCCCACCATATACAACTCTGTTTCTTCGACATATTGAATTTTTCAAAATGAAATTGTAATTTGACACTCGAACGAAGAGGTGTCTTATGCCATGGCATTGTATCATGGTAGCATAGCATGGCATTGTAATGTTTTAGCCAACATATATATTTGAATGACTAGAATAAAGTGAAAAACGTTGAAATAAAATATGATATTTTTTTAATTTATGTCCTAAATTTGAAAGAAAGAAAAAGAAGAGATATTTAAAGGAATGTATATTCCATTCTATTGCATCTAATTTTAACTAATTCACACAATATAATTTCATTTCATTCTAACAATATGACGATTAGTTTACCGAATTATTGCAAGTATAAAAATAATGAGATATTAAATATCGCTCTCAATAATCAAGTACTAATTGACAAACTTAGCAATTAATTTGTAAAAATAGAGAAGAACAAACAAACCAAAAAACAGAACAAGTAATGGTGGTTTAAACCACTAATTTGGCTTAAAGGAGCTAAAAAGCATAACAAAGCAAATAAAGAAATAAAAAGCAAATACAATTTTTTGAATTCATAATCAAACACTTAAATGAAGAGTCAAGGTTAAGCTTTTACTTGGTTACAATACCTTGCAAGCAATTTAATTAGATTTGATATAAGTTGAAACTCCTATTTTATTATCAATCTCACACAATTGTTCAATTCTTAATTTCTGAGGCAGAGGAATCGTAATTCTCAATTGCGAACCCTAATTTTTTATGTGTTTCAAAAAATGCATATTAAGAACAAGAATTGAGAAAGTAACAAATAACTCGATAACTATTCCTAAACCAGGGATTTGCGAGGTTCATAGTCTTAAAATACAAACATACGTCAAATTTCTATTCGTATGCATGATTAAAAAAATTATTCGAGAATGGCTTGATCATGGAAAGCATTAAGAGAAGAATTTACTCAAAACAGGCAAACAAACTTGTATTAAAATTTCAAAAATCAAGTACAAGGAAGTTCTAATGTAACTACAACAATGGGTGTTTAGCTAAACATATTCATAATGAAGAGAACTAATTAAATGGAAAGACAAGAAAGGATTCCATAGGTTGATGAAAGATAAAGGTAAATTTCCAATCTTTTTTCCCCTTCATAACCCCCAGTATTGATCTAAGTTAAAAGCTTGATTTTAGTAGTAAAACTCAAATATGCCATGAAAAATAAATAATCAAGCCTATGATAACATTCCATCCATTTCCATCAATGCAAATGTAACCAAAGGGATGTTTGGGTGATACAGTGAAGAACGAAAAAAGATTGGACGTCCATTTTAGACAAATAACCAGTGGACTAATCATTGCCATTTAGTAAAATTAGTGATTTTATCCTCTAAATTTATTTTATATTTCTATTCAATCATCTAACTTTTCATTGCTCTCTTCGCTGCTCACTTCGTATTGGGACTTAATGAGTATCCGTCACGATGGTCATATGGCTCTAAAGTTAATTTAGACTTGCTAATTCATATTCTCAAACATGTAAATTATAAATAAAAATGTGAATTGAAAGTTCGGATTCTTTAATGAGTTTTGGATTCTATAAATCAAGGGAAAAAGAAAAATAAAGGATATGAATTGACTTTAGATTTGTGAAATAGACAAATTAATAAAGGATTAAGAAGAGTTAACAAGAAATAGATTAGAAATGGTAGTGGTAATAATTAAAATTGAAGCTAATAATTTTGATGACTAAATTGAAATTAAAATGAAAATTTGAAAATGAAAGTACTAATTTGCCTCATCATTTGATCATGTGTGTGTGCGTGTGAAAATAGTTCAACCTTCTCTTTTTCCTTCTTTTATTAAACAAACCTATATACATATTTGGAAGGTTATTTCCATCTAAAGAGACAGTTAATACAGAAGATAAGAGATGAACTATCCTAATAAGTTTGAGTTCTGGTTTATTTAGCAGATATCTGTTCAACATATGGAGACCCCACATAAAATCTAATCACACATTGCTGCCGAGATCTCCCATATAGCTTGATCAGATATAGCTACTTACTCTACTTTCTTCCTACTAAATCAGATATAAGTCATTCCCTCTTGATATCAGATTCTTCAGTCTTTGCAAATCGACCGCGGATTCTTGGTTGACTGTCAGCAAGAGCCTTCCTGCAGGCATACTGAAAACAAAGTATACATCATCAACTGAATTTGGATTCTGTTTATCGTTAAAAATAGCACCAGTAAATTTTGGTTGCATAAGAAAATTGCTGTTGATTCCATAACAGCTTTAAAGCATATCAAGGAACTATGCATGATTACTGCTGAAACTGTTTGTCACTCTGTGAGTACAGTGTAGAACAAGAGAAATGGATAATGACACATTGCAAAAGCTTCAAAAGTTGAGGTGATGATGAACATTTATAACAGAAACTACTCATCCATGATGACAACCACTGAAGAGATTGAAGAAAACAAATTCTAGAAACCCTAAGAACAACGTCAAAGATGAACATCACGTTCTAAGCAGAAATTATTAACCAAACAATATCCATAGCTATTTCCATTGCATTAGATTGCAGTTCAAAACTTCCAAGAGATATGTTTATGTTAGGCAATCCATAGAATTTCCGAGGCTTTCTGTGTGAAATTCAAACTCTCACATTGTAGAGGGATGGTGTACTAATGATTACCTTGATTTTCCTCCCAAAATTTCTCTTTGTCTTCTTATTCCTGTACCTGGAGAGCTTTTGTCGGCGTTCCTCACTGGTGCAGTTGCTTATATGAAAGGGCCTCTCAAGGGGTGATTGGACAATGTTCATATTACCATTACCCAGAGTCTGCACAAAAAAAGTATCAATCAATCAGTATACTTGAGTAAATCACGGGATTATGGTAAGTTATTCATCCAAATGAGAAAAATAAATAACTAGGGAGAATTTAAAGCAGAAATTGTTTGTGATTTTACACCAGGAAGTGTAAATATCAGGATAGAGTATTCCATTTCTGGTTGTAAAATGAAAGGTCCGTTTGAAAAGACATGACTTCCAAATAATGATTTCACTCAAGGGCAAATTAAGGGTCAGATATTTAATCACACTGCATGTTCAGAAAAGGAGAAGCATGTCCAGCATATTAAGAAACAAAATAATCATATCGACGGCATGATAAATGGCAAAAGGAATTATTCTCTTAAAAAGAATTAGGTGTATTTTGATAACAGCCTTTTTAATTTCTTATTACCAGTTTTTGAAATTGTGACATTCAAACTAACAGATTGTGACAAAACTTAAAGCAATCTTTGAAATATGAGGTATGATACGAAAATGCTTCCAAATTTGTTAATTCAAATGAAGAAATCTGACTCAGCTCATGTCATCATTCACTTTGTTTTACACTTAATAGAGGGTTGATACACGGTAAAGGCATAAAGGCATGGAGTTTCCCTTGACTGAGTTAAGTCACACTATACTGAGATGGACAAAGATTCTGACAGGAGACCAAGGTAATTTGTTGATGAGGTAGTTATCATCATGGTTATTAAATTTTAATTTATTGCTTCAAAAATGTTAGGGGAAAAGCAGAATTCTGAAATTGATGCGGGTTGGTTTTATGGTGATTTCATTAAATATATGAGCTAAAAAAGATTTTGGTCTTCCAAAAATTCATGATTTTTCCATTTAGTTTATCATTTTAATTTTTTTCATACAAGTCCCCCAAAAATGTTTTTCATTCTCATATGGTCTGTTTGTTAGTCATTAATTAATTTTTTTTCATTATCTACCTACGTGGCATTAAACTTGACTCATATAATATGAGAAGAAATTAGTGAGGAAGATGATGTGACATTTACATTTTCATTTTCTTATATCGTTAAATTTCAATTTTGAAAACCCTAATCTTATAACCTAAAATTTCATTAAAAAATATGAAGGATGTGATATTGTTGATGAAATATCTTGTCCTGTTCTAGTCAAATCATGAGTCAAATTAGACGTTACATAAGCAAATAACAAAACAAATTAACAAATCACTACCAGAGAAACTAAATAGAATTGAAAAATAAATTTTGGAAAACTAGATCAAAAAAAGTAAAAAGGAAAGACCAAATTAGAAAATTACAAATTTTTGGAAGACCAAAACTTTGTTTAAGCCAATGTATAAAAAGCACAAGTGCAGTTGATATATGAATCAGTGAAGCAAACCTTTATATCTCCTTCACTAAATGATCTTCGCATGCCATAAACTGCATTGAAATCTATTACAGGGATATCAACAAAAGCAGGCTTCATTCCATGCATCCAGTCCATTGAGCTCAAACTTCCTGAACTGACACTCTTTGGTAATTGCATGTCAAGTGGCTTGTTTTCTTGAAAAGAGTTCTCATCAATGTTCAGAATAGGAGGAACCTTGATATCTAAAATATCAGAGAATGGTGACTCTATTGCTGCCTTTTCTAAGAGATCCTTTTTGCATTCATAGAAAATATCACTCAGAAGCTGTTCATTTTGAAGGATATCAATATCCGTGGACTTTAGTCCCTGCGATGAGACATCTTCCCCGCAAGATATCATTGAAATGGCTGCTGTCATGGGATCCAGATCCATGACTGGCTCTTCAATAATAGGTTCAGGGGCTTTGAACAGATCTCCCTCTGCTGCCAAATCATACTCTGACATGGCAGAAGACTGAACAAGGTCACCCTGCATTAAAAACATAGGAAATTAAAGGAAAATTAATTAGCAAATGTAATACAGTAATAGAATCGAAAATAAATTTTATCATGACACCCAATAATGAAAAAAATAAAGAATGCATGACCGTAACAAATAAAAAAAATAAGTAAAAACAGAACATTAGCTTTAGAATTAGAACAATAAAATAGAAAAGATGTTTGATTGTCACTCGAGCATAAACAAAAGCATGATAAATAGAAAAATATAAAAACAATATCGTTGTAGAAAGAACAATAATAGTAATAAAACAAAGGAATGAACACGTCACTTGGTTAACTCCAGATGCAGTATGGGTTACAATGATTTACACTTCCCTCTCCCATCCCCTGCACACTCCTCCCACAAATGAAAACGGTTTGTCGACAGTACTTTTATTGTTTAGTCAATATCTAGTTGTCAATTTTTGTGAGCATTAACATTTGTTTCCAACTGGTTATCATGTTTAACATGCTCTAAGATGGTATTCCTGACACCAATGATGCCAAAAGTTTTCATGATAATATTTGCATGATTCCATCAAGTAAAGTGGTTCTTAAAGCAACTGACCATATTATAAATTTCTTAGAATGGACAAAAGATTCCAATTGCATGTCATGGTCATCCAACCAAAACATGGTTTATAGAAGGGATTTAGACCAAATAGACGTTGTTCCTCAACTTTTTTAGAAAGAGAGAAAAAAGAGAAACAACAAAAAAAAGCTAGAGAGAATCAATCTGAGATAGTGAGGTGACAGAATAGTGCATATTGTCAGTAAGGGACTTGCAAGGGCTTCAAAGAGTATCAAGCCCAAGTAAGAAATATGTTAAGATTCTCTGATATAGGAAATTGACTCAAGTACTTAACATCAGAATAGTGCATATTGCAGACTAAATGATAAAAGGTAAAGAAGACAATGATTTTCTACCTTTTCAGTATAAATCAAATCATACACCACATACAATAGTGAAAATCATATTAATACTGCAAAGCAGAAGCCTTGCATAAATGATAGGTCACAATACATATTCGGACTCAGCTGAACCTTCACATACAAAGGAAAGGCTAACTAGGCTCGAGTTATGTAAATTGGAATCAGATAGATGGTTTCAAATTCAAAGTCCATGCTTCAACCAAAAACCTGACTTTGAAAGAAAATCCAGGTGTTAACAGCTGAAACAGTGAAAACGGCACCACACACAGTCCAGAATACACTTGACTATAACTCAACTGGAGGAATATGGATCATTGTGAATACTGAAAACATTAAAATAAAGCAGCCCGGTTAAAAGCAAATTGTTGAAGAAAAAATATGCACACATCAAAATATCTTAAGTAGCAAAGGTTCGAATCCTATCTATATCATATTATTTAAGGTTATGTTGCAAGCAATATCATTATAAATGCCTACACCCATATTGGATGGCCTTCCTTTGACCAAACCAATAGGTGGATTGGTCAAGGTACAGCTTCCCTGATTACCAAGGCACATAAGCCCATACCACAGAAAACAATGTTTGAAATTTCAGTGACCAAAACAGAAAACCACACCAATATGAAACAACCAATTTTTATCATTTATTTAAATTTAACAGGAGCAGAAATAGAAATAACCTTTCTACAACTATGTTTAGTGCCCGACAAATACCATGAAGAAATGATTAAGTTGAGCATTAACAAACCCCCTTTCCTTTATCCTTTCACCTTACTATAAAGAAGAAAAGCGAATCAAAGGCCTTTTCCTCTTTAATCTCCCTCCTCAGTGCGGCACAAAAAGACAAACTCCACTTACAGTTCACACTAGAAACTTAAAAATAAAATGAAAGAAAGATTATAGAACACGGAACTAAAACAAAGAAAAAATTTTCCCTTTTGATACTTTTATTTTCTTTCCTTTTCCCATACTTTTCCAGATCCAGCGTGTGAATACAACTACAGTTGCTTCCACTTACGCTATTTACTAAAAGAGAAAACATTCAGAAAGAAGGGAAAAAGGAGCAAAACTCAAATGAATAAACACATATTACCTTCGAAACAGTTTAGTTAGAGTTTTCCTCCTTCAGCTTGTTATTATCAAGCAAACAAGGAACTACAAATCATATATTAAAAGGGTAAAAAAAAAGAAAGAAAGAAAGAAAGAAACGTTACAAAAAAAAAAAAAAAAACTGAAATGTGAGAAATAAATAAATATAAATATATAAATACAAATTTAGACATCAACCATAAAAAAACTAAGTTGAATCCTATAATACAAAGCGACCCATTTTTCGTTGCCCCATTTACTCCAAAAAAGTGAACAGTGACATTCAGGGTAAGGAAAGAAAAGAAATTATCGAAATCTATACGTTATAAAGGAAAACCCATTAAAAGAAATGCAGACAAACAGAGCAAAAACAGAGGAGAGGAATTGTTAGGTACCATTGAAGCATTTGACTTGTGGGTTTTGCAGTACTCCTCAAGTTGATGAAGCTCTTGAGAGAGGTTGTGCAAATATGGGAAGAGAATACCAGTCTCTGCATACATTTCTCCAATACAGAACCGAGTTTGGATAAGATAGATAGAAAATATGTTCAGTGGAAACGGGGGAAAAACAGAGGAAGAGAAGCACACACAGAGTGGTGCTAAAACATGGAGCAGCAGAGCAAATGAGTGTTGAAGGGTTTTGAGCTTTGATGATTTATTTAGGACAAAGCAAGAAAGAGAATTTGTATTTATATATTAAAAATGGTGAATGAATACGGCAATAATTTTAGTATACTTACAGGACTTTGGAAATATATGATTTAAGTATTAAATTAAATGAGGACAAAGTGGGAAAATGACACCACCATTTTATAATGCAGTGGTTGTCATGCCCTTTTTAAAAAAAATGAAAAAGGGTATTCTTTTTATTGAATAAATTATATGAATATATATTTTGTAGAATTATTAAATTTGCAAATAGGAGAGGGTGATGAAATGCACGAAGCCAACGATGGTAATGGTGGAAGGGATGGTGGGGGCTGCAACTGAACAGGAATCATCACTCATCAGACAGGCCAGTGTAACCGTTACCTCCCATCCATCAGGCCAACGCGCTCTCACGGCGCTTGTAAGTAACCAATTTAATTTTTTTATAAAAAAATTATAAGTAATATACTTTACAGTTTAATAAAATTTTAAATTTTAAATTTTTAACTTATATTCTATACTGATCTGTATGACCTTGTATATTATTTTAAAAAGAGGTCACAGTTATAACCAACTTAAGATGCTTTAATATGTGTCTTTTTTCCCCTTAAGTTGGTTAGTTAGTTAAGTTAGTTTTGAATATAAGTTAATTCAACTTATAAATATTTTGAGAAAAAATAAAAATTTATAAGTTTAAGTAAAAAGAATGACAGAGAACTCAATTTGCACAGCTTTAAAAATAAAGAAAGTTAATTAACTAAAAAAGTTTAAAAATCAAATTTATGCATAATTTAAACTATAATATATATATATATATATATATAATTAAACTTGAAATTTATCATTAAATTATGTGATATTACAATGATCACGCAAATAAATTTTAAAGAAGTTAAATATTTGTAATTATATTATCTTGCAGTGTCATTTTTTTATAATTTAAAACATCATATCTGCTAAAAAAAATTATCTGGTAGAGTAATAAATCATTCTTAGATTGAATTTTAAATATTTTATTGAATAAAACTATTCTAAAATTTACCATTTAATTAAAACTTATTATTAAATAAAGTATATTTACAAAATTTGGAATCAATGCAGTACTATTTATTTTTTAACAAATATACATCAAAACTGATATAATACATATTTTAAAAATATATAAAAATAATCATGTAATTATATTTTATTATTATTTATACATTTACGTCTTTAAAATGAACAATTGAAATAATATAAATTTATAATCTAACAATTGAAATAATAAAAATTAACTCATATATGAAATTACTGAATGGTATAAAAATATTATTATAAGTTGTATACTCATTTAAAACCCCGTAGACATTTAATTTTGAAAAAAATGACAACAATTTGAAAGGAATAACAAAAGTTACCGATGAAAGGATCACTAATAGTCAAGTGCAACTATAAACAGAGAGAAAATGTGGTGTACAGAAGAAAAATTAGGATAATAAAAATTTATTGACTTTTCAACTTGTTACTATGCTTACCTTGTTCTGTTTTTTGTGAGTGTGAGTGGACAGGAGATACAAGTGAAAAGAATAATCATAAAATGATTAATTTTTTTTAATATAAAAATTATAATATTTTTTAAATAATTATATAATCTTATATAAAATTTTCTTTTAGAATATAATTATATAATTAAGATTTATTTTAAATTCATAAAAATGAATCTTTTACTCTATAAATATCTTACATTTATTGTATATATTAAATAATTTTATGAAGAAAAAAAAGTAAAGCATTTTTAATAATATATGCAATCTGAAAAACAAATGACCTCCATCTATCGTTTGGGGACATTGCTAGTGCAGAAGAGAGAGCTTAATAGCAAAATCCAAGCATTACACTTACGGCGGACAAATGAAGACTTGACCGAATAATATCCATTTTAACTCAAAAACATGTTTGTTTAATTTAAAGGAATCAAATTATTTTAGTTTTGCCACACTAAAAAGGTTTAGAATCTGATAGAATGTGTGCGTAACATTGAGAGAATACACAAAATACTTATAAAACGTCTTTTATTGCAAGAGATGTAACCCACCTCAAAATACACCAATTTGGGTCACGATCGAAGGTATTATCACGGATGTTAACTTTATTTTAAAGTTGTTTTTTATATTTTTTTATTTTTCTAAATATTAATATTTTATTTAAAATAAATTTAGAATATAATAAGTATTCTAACCTGTTTTTATTATAAAAGAAATTAATAATACATATTAAAAGATTATTAATTTAATTATATATACAATTCATCTTTTCAAAAGTTTTATTGTAAGCTACTTTCAAGAATTATACTTGATAGAATTAAATATTTTACTGACATTTAATACACTATTATGAAAGAGAATATTATTCTGCTAAAACTAAATTATCTATATTATTGCAAATTATACTTTTACAATTTTTCTCTATTTCTTTTTTTCACATTAAATTTCACACATGTTTAGTAACATCTTAGTGTAAATTTTTAGATAAATATGAATTGATTTTAAACCATTCAAACACCATTTACTATAATTTCATACAAATACTGCAATACAAAAAAAGATACAATATGTTTTCATCTTTAATATTATACAACTTACAAACTTTTGAGAGAATGGTCAATCCACATTTAGTTAAGTTCGTTCATTCTATAACTACATCAAACGTATATTATTGTCTAACGTTTATTTATAAATAACATACATAATAGCATATCTAAAGAAAATGATAATAATTGTTAAACACAATATTATTTAACTTCATTTCAATTCATAACTGTGACTATTAGAGGGAAATTTTATTTTTAAGTTACTTATATTACTTTAAGATACTTTAAACGCTTATTTTATTTGTTGTTGTATGGGTATTATAAAGGGTGTATTTACTTATATGCTTTAGATTAAAAAAAATAAAAAAATAATTAAACTGAAATTTAATCAAATAAAAATTTGTAAAACTGTATTTTACCTGTGATTTAAATTTTAGTTTTCATTATTAAAACTAGATTAAACTACATTTATAACAAATTTATATTATTATTTTTATTATATTTTCATATAAAAATCATTTTTTTAACTCCATATTCTAAATTTTAAAACAAATTAAAAACATGTAACAATAAATAAAATAAAAAAATCAATCCAAAGTGAATTAATATTTTATAGTTCAATTTAATTTAATTTTTAAAATATATTCAAACCAGATCAAACTATATATTATTTTTATGTGAAGTTCAAATAACTTTTAAAGTAAAAATTAAACTAAATCCAATTACAAACACCTCTATTATTGTCAGTATTTTAATTAATTTATCTAAAATTTTTTTATAATTATATTAATAATAAAAATATTTTAAATAAAAATTAAAATAATATAACAATAGACATATAGATTTGAAATAACAAATTATAATTTGTAAACCTATCTGGAGAAGAGCAACGCAGGTCCTTGATCACAATTCTTGGAGTGGGTGCAATATTAAGAATTTTGCCCTTCTGAAAATAACAAACTTATTACGTAATAAATTATATTTACCAACAATGTTATTTAAAATAATTTTATAATTTAATTAACTTTAAATTAGTAGCGAATATATTTTTTTATTTTAAAAAAATCAATTCGCTACTAATATCTGGACACGTACCCAAATTGCGTTTCCTTATTTTCATGATCGAGTGCGTTTCATGCATTTATAGCATAACTTTGATTTTAAAATTAAGTATAAAATTAAAGGAAATTTAAAAATATGAGATAAATATACTATGAATTGAAAAAAAAATAAAAAAAAGGTTCAAGTTAATTATTTTAAATTTAATGAGAAACACATAAATTTTGTAAATTAAAAATAATAAGAGTACAAATAACAATGTTTGAGATGAAAAAAATTACTATATAATTAAAGCTAAAATTTGAAGACAAAATATTAAAAGAAAAAAGAAAAATTAAAACAAGTAATAGTTTTTTATGAATTAATAGTTTTAATTATTTTAAACATATAAAACAGTTTTTAATATAATAAGAACAAGTAAATATACAATAAGAGTTATTTTGTATGAAAAAGAAGACTCGTATTTATAATACAAGAGTTGAAGTGTTGACATCTGAAATAGTTTTCTTTTTATCAGTCATGTTCTTCAAAATATGTTCTCTATCTCTTTTTTTTTTTTTTTATGCACGTGGATTAATTCATCGTGAATTCGTGATCAAAGAAAATTTCTTGCATAAAGTTATCTGAATACTTCATGTAAACTGCATATAAAATTAACGTAACATTGAATGAATACTGTACATTGAAAAATAAAACTTTATTTATCATTAATACTTATTTACTGGTATATTAATTTGTTACATTTAAAACTTTTTGTATGTTGACAATTACATACAGTGTCAAACTTACTGAAAAATATGTTAACACTTGATTGAATATAAGCGTAAGCTTACTGTATACTAAAAATCCATCAAAATTCAATTCACTTCATATTAACTCAGAGTATGCTTTAGTAGTTAAACTAAACATTTTTTATTAAAATAAACATTTATTCAAACTTTTCATAAAGTTGTTCTTAACACGCTTTCAATCTCTATGATTTGTAGAAATTAGATTTATAAAATAATTATTCTTTGATAGATGAAGTTTATGCTTGACATTCGTAGTGATGAAGCTACCATTATATAGCACGTCTATACAGGGATTCTACCTCAAATCATTAATATTTCGATTTTGGTTGTGATAGTCATATATTGTAATATAACAGATTGCAAATTATTCTCCCTTGTCATTCAAAGGTGGTATGATATAGAGCGTTGAATGATAACCAAAAGGGACACAAGTCTTTCAAATCTGTGCTTGCTTGATTGAACCAAATAAAGGAGAAAGAAATTAAAGAAAGGAAATATAAGTATGTTTATTATTTAATTAAGCTAAATTTGAGCTGCAATATTTTAAGTGTTGTTAATATTTGTTCCTATAAAAGATACACTTGTCTGCTATAATCTCTGTTTCTATCTTCTGTTCTGATGTCCTT